TCAGTATTACCAACAGCATCATCAGCATCATCAGCATCATCAACATCGCCAGCCTCATCTTCACATTCATCATCATCAGCATCAGCATCCGTATAATCAGCACCATCATCAGCATCATCATGTTCATCATCGTCATCATCATCGTCGTCATCATACGCATCAGCATCACCGCCATGTTCAACATCAACAGCCTCATCATCAGCATCATCATCATCATCAGCATCATCAGCATCATCACCCTCAACAACATCATCAACCTTACCAACATCGTCGCCAGCATCACCATCATCAGCACCGTCATCCATCAGCATCAGCATCGTCATATGGTCATGCTCATGCGTCTGAACATCGTCATCCTCATCGTGCTCGTCCCCAGCAGCCGCATCATCAGCCTCGCCTTCATCATTACCATCATCAGCATCATCCTCATTATCATCATCAGCATCAGCATCATCATCGTCACGCTCATAATGACCCTCATCCTCATCATCCCCATCCTCAGCCGTACCATCATCAGCATCATCATCAGCATCATCAGCCTCAGCATCAGCATCATCATCAGCAGCATCAACACAATCATCAACGCCATCACCACCATCAACGTCATCACCATCGCTACTAGCAGCATCATCAGCATCCGCATCCGCCTCCGCATCCTCCTCGGCCTCATCCATCGCCTCCTCCTCCTCATCAGCATCACCAGCAGCAGCAACAGCATCGCCAGCACCAGCATCATCAAGACCATCGTCATCAGCATCAGCATCAGCATATTCATCATCAGTTTCATCAGCATCATCTGAAGATCATCCTCATCATCATCGGCATCATCAGCAACATCACCTTCATCGTCTTCTGTATCATCACAAGCATCATCGTCATCGTCGTCATCATCGTCGTCATCATTGTCATTATTAACATCAACATCAACACCAACATCAACATCAACATCACCATCAACATCAACAACAGCATCACCAGCAGCGACCTCATCATCAACACCGATACCAACAGCATCATCATCATCATCATCATCATCAGCATCATCATCATCATCATCGTCATCGTCATCATCATCATCATCATCATCATCACCATCACCATCATCATCATCATCATCATCATTATCATCATCATCAGCAGCATCATCATCATCATCATCATCATCATCATCATCATCATCATCAACGTCAGCATCATCATCATACTGGCTGACCCTCTCTCGTTCCCCCTCGCTCGCCGCTTCCCGTTCCTCATCGATCACCGCCCCCCTTCGCGCCACCAGGCGTGTTGACAGGGCGGGCCGAGCGCTTCGCATGAGACGAGTCAACCGCCTGCCCCCCTGAACCGGTGGCTGCTAAATAAAGGTGGCACGGGCGAAGGGCGGGGGTCAGTGTGTGGCTCCCGTCTAGCGCCGCGCACAATTGCCTTACCAGCCCGAAGCAATTACTCCAGATTTCGTAATAAAAGGGAGGGGCTCTGGGCCCTCCAAGACAAGCCATTTTAGACCCCCCCCCCGTGGGAGAACCCTCCAAAACATCGTCCCCAGACCCCCCCAGGCCCTCCAAGATAGCTTGGAGAAGACCCCCCCCGAAATGAGACCTCCCTCCCTTTATTACGAAATCTGGAGTACACGGATAGGGGATGGCGGTCCTCAAGCTGTGACTCTCGCCGCCGCTCGCGCGCAGTCGCCGCAAAAGCCTCCCGCGCACTCTGGGCGTAGGTGGTACAACGAGACGTGCCTTTCCTCTTCAGAAGCCCGTCTACCCTTTGGGGAGGGGTACTCCCCCCATCCCCTCCCTGAGTTTTTGCTTGCCTGGGGGCGGGGGGCGCGCAAGCGGTCAGTGCGCCCAAGGTGCCCCAACATAGCTCTAAGAGGGCACCCGATGCCCCAAGACGGCCTCCAAGGCAGCTAACTATAGCTGGGGATGATTCAAGGTAGCTTCTGACATACCTCCACGAGGCCCGACGAGACGGTTCCAAGTGCCCTCGGAGCCCCCGCAGGATTAGTGCTCTCGGAGCCCCCTCACGACCTCCCCCCCAAGCTGAGGAGCATTACTTGGTTCTGCCTTCTCACAGCTTCGCGTCCGATGCGTGTTTTGAGGCCTCACGGTTGGTCCAAGATGGCCCAAGAGAGCTCCACGAGGGGCCCAAGGGCCCTCCCAGAGGGCCCCAAGAACGCCCAAGAGCGCCCCAAGAGCAAGAGGGCCCCAAGAGGGCCCCAAGTGTCGATTCTGCGGGCCCCAGAAGGGGGAAATGGGGGAGGGGGAGGGGCAAATCGGTGACACCCCCTTTGATCGATGGCCTCAAAGATGGCCTCAGAAGGCCCTCCGGGGCTCCCAAGAGGGCCCAAGAGGAGTCCCAACAGGCCCCAAGAGCGCCCCAGGAGCGTCCCACGAGGGCCCCAAGAGACAGTGTGCCTCCTCCTCCTCCTCCTCCTCCTCCTCCTCCTCCTCCGCCCGCCCCTCGCCCTCCCGCGGGCCCCAGGGATGACCCGAAGAGGTCATCCAAGGCCACCCCCCTGCTCCAAGAGATCTCTGCTCCAAGGCCACCCCCCTGCTCCTCCTGCCCGCTATGGTACACTATACTGTGCCTCGTCGTCCCTTCTCCAGTCAGCTCTCATGGGCAGGGTTTCTGCACAGGCCTGTGAGCACACGTGAAGCACGAAGAATGTCTACAACAGTTACGGGGATGGGCCGGCTCCTCTCCAACATGGGGTTCTCGCTTGGAACCTCCATGAACTTAGAAAACCTGCAAGTTCGGGGATGGACGGACCTCCCTTTAGTAAAACGTGGTTTCGTGCAAGCGACCTGAGGCCCAAACCTGGCGGGCGCAGGCCTGGAAAAGAACGGCCGCGGCGCCCTCTCGAGGGCCGCAAACGAACAATTCGCTAATCGACGTGTCACTGTTGGGGAGGGGGGAGGGGGGCGGGGCGGGGGCGGGGGCGGGGCGGGGAGGGGGTGGGGGAGGGGAGGGGGAGGGAGGGGGAGGGGGAGGGGGAGGAGGAGGAGAGGAGGAGGGAGGAGGAGGAGGAGGAGGAGGAGGAGGAGGTTCTGTCCGCCCCCGACAAATTGAACATGTGCAGTGGGTCCACGGCTGGAGGGCGCTTCCATCTCACAAAACGAGAGCTCTCGCGCCAGGAGTGCCACCGCGTGCAACAATTGCACCGGCGGGGCGGTCCCTGCCTCGAACTGGAAATCTGGATGGGCACCTCGCTGCTGAACTGCACGAGCCGCTCCTCGCTCCTCCTCGCTCCTCTCCCTTTCATATCGCTCCCCTCCCTTCACCCCCCTTCTCCTCCCTGCCCCTCTCCTACCTTTCCGCTCCTCCTCGCTCCTCTTGAGCAGGGACCGACCGTCCCGGCATTCCTACAGTCCTACCACGAGATGTGCTTAGAACCCAAAACTGTTCTGAGAAAAAAACACATGTTTTACAGCATAAGCCCGATGTGATAAAACAAGACGGCCCCAACCAGACCTGTTCCAAAAACACTTCCTGGGAACCACAAAAAGGCTCTTAGAACTTTGCTCGGTGGGACTATAGGCACGCCAGGACGCTCCGCCACTGCTTGATCCTCTCCCTCTCCTCCCTCCCCGCTCCTCCCTCCGCGCGCTCCCTCCTCGTCCCCCCCCGCCGCGCCGCACCGCCACACGGCCGCGGACGCCCTGCCGCCGCGTGGGGGACGCACCGACCCGGGTCGCCCCGGGTCGGTGCAGACCCGGGCCAGACAGGCGTCGCAGTGTCCTGCATGATCCACCTCCTCCTCCTCCTCCTCCTCCTCCTCCCCTTCCTCCTCCTCTTCCTCCTCCTCCTCCTCCTCCTCCTCCTCATCATCATCATCATCATCAGCATCATCATCAGCATCCTCATCGTCATCGTCATCGTCATCATCAGAATCATCATCATCAGCATCAGCAGCAGCATCATCATCAGCTTCCTCCTCCTCTTCCTCCTCCTCCTCCTCCTCATCATCATCATCATCATCATCATCATCATCATCATTATCATCATCATCTTCATCTTCATCATCATCATCAGCATCATCATCATCATCATCATCATCATCATAATCATCATCATCATCATCATCATCATCAGCGTCAGCGTCAGCATTAGCATCAGCATCAGCATCAGCATCATCAGCAGCATCATCATCGTCGGCAACGTCGTCATCATAATCACCATAACCATCACCATCACCATCACCACCAACAGCCTCATCATCATCATCATCATCATCATCATCATCACCATCACCATCACCATCTCCATCGCCATCGTCATCGTCACCCTCATTATCAACATCATCACCCTCATCATCAACAACACAAGCACCATCATCATCATCACCATCACCATCACCATCACCATAATCGTCAGCATCAGAATCATCGTCGTCATCATCCTCATCATCAGTCCTCCCGCCTAGTTACTCTTCTTACTCCTTCTTCTTCCTCCTCCACCTCCTCCTCCTCCCTCCCTCCTCCTCCTCCCTCCCAGAGGCTGGTCGGGAAGAGCGGCCTGGGCAAGGGGAGGACCAGCGAAAGCTACTTTAAGATGGGCGAGGCGGCGAGGGCCACCCCCATCGATCGTTTGACAGTGCGCAGCAGAACCAGTCGTCCGTCGGCCTGTCGGCCGCGCTTCGGCGCATGTACCCTTACCCTTACCCTCCCCCTGCCTGCGCCCAAGCCCGGGTCAATGCACACCTCTGGCTCTGCAGGCCCCCGCAAGAGCCGGAGGGAGGAGGAGGAGGAGGAGGAGGAGGAGGAGGAGCAGGAGGGAGAGGAGGAGGAGGAGGAGCAGGAGGAGGAGGAGCAGGAGGAGGAGGAGGAGGAGGAGGGGATGAGGAGGGAGAGGGAGAGGAGGAGGAGGAGGAGCAGGAGGAGGAGGAGGAGGAGGAGGAGTATGCGCCGTGGCGGACCACACCGTCTGCTCGGGACCCCCCGTCTGCATCACTGGAGCCCCGACCCGCCGCCGGTCGCGGCCGCGCCCGGCGCGCGGGCCTCCAGGCGGAAGTGGGTGAACGTCGTGGCCAGCGAGAGCCTGCGGCCGCACAAGGGCGCCACTCTCCGCCTCCTCCTCCCTCCCCCTCCTCCTCCTCCTCCCCCCCCTCCTCCTCCTCCTCGCCTCCTTCCTCCTCCTCCTCCTCCTCCTCTCCTCCTCCTCCTCCTCCTCCTCCTCCTCCTCCTCCTCCTCCTCCTCCTCCTCCTCCTCCTCCTCTCCTCCTCCTCCTCCTCCTCCTCCTCCTCCTCCTCACTCCTCCCTCCGCCTCCTCCTTCCTCCTCCTCCTCATCCTCCTCCTCCTCTCCTCCTCCTCCTCCTCCTCCTAACTCCTCCTCCTCCTCCTCCTCCTCCTCCTCCTCCTCCTCTCCTCCTCCTCCTCCTCCTCCTCCTCCACCTCCTCCTCCTCCTCCTCCTCCTCCTCCTCCTTCCTCCTCCTCCTCCTCCTCCTCCTCCATCCTCCTCCTCCTCCTCCTACCCTCCTCCTCCTCCTCCTCCTCCTCCCTCCTCCTCCTCCTCCTCCTCCACTCCTCCTCCTCCTCCCCTCCTCCTTCCTCCTCCTCCTCCTTCCTCCTCCTCACCTCCTCCTCCTCCTCCCCTCCTCCTCCTCCTCCTCCTCTCCTCCTCCTCCTCCTCCTCCTCCTCCCTCCTCCTCCTCCTCCTCCTCCTCCTCCTCCTCCTCCTCCACTCCTCCTCCTCCTCCACCCTCCTCCTCCAGCCTCCTCCTCCTCCTCTCTGCCTCCTCCTTCTCTCTCCTCCTCCTCCTCCTCCTCCTCCTCCTCCTCCTCCTCCTCCTCCTCCTCCTCCTCCTCCTCCTGCTTCGAGCTGCGAGCTGGTGGGCACGATCCTCCGGCAGGAGCGGCGCGCTCGTCCCGGATGCCTCCCCAGCAGAGCCTGGCTGGGGGATGGGGGCGCGTGGGGGCACCAGGCCCTGGTTGAGCAGGGACCGACCGTCCCAGCATTCCTGTACAGTCGGACTCGATTGGGCAGGACACGCGAGAGGACACAAGACCCTTCCGAGGACCACATCGCCACAGGAGTGTAGGAGGGCACGTGTCGCGAGGCACAGGACACAAGGGTACCCTTGAGCTGGCAGGGTCAACCCACCAATCCGGGCCGACTGTACGTGGGCAGGCGAGCCCAGTATCTAATCGACAGGTCGGATCGGCGATCGAAGTGAATCAGATCGGCGAAAAAACGGCGGCCCGAGTCGGGAAAAGTCGGATCGGCGGAACTCGGCAGGCTAGTCTGCCTGCAGTAAGGAATCGGATTCCAAATCGGAATCCGGAGCCGACTCGAATCGGAATCGGGAGCCACCGAAGCCTCATCGAATCGGATCGGAGGCATCGAAACGAGCCCTGCGAGGGGGGGGGGGGGAGGAAGGTGCACCTTGCGGGCCCTAGAGACCCCCTCTTGGGCCCTGCAGGGCCCCTTCTGGGGCCCCCCAGAAGAGGGCTCCTGTTCTTCTGCAGCCCACGAGAGGGCCCCTGCTCTGCCGCCCTCGCTGCCCCCCCACGAACCGTGGGCGGCCAGGAGGGGCGGGGCGTCCAAGAGGGGGGGGGCGCAAACCGTGGCCCGCGGCATGTGCGCGGCACAGGGGGGGGGCCAGGGACGTATAAAGGGAAATTAGGACACACAAATAAATACACACAAATAAAAATAGTCCCCATATTTTCTCATATTTTCTGGGTTTTTGTCTTCCCCCCCAATTCCCATATTTTCCCATATTTTCCTGGGAATCGAGGATTAATTGTGTCTGTGTGTGTTTTTTCCCTCCTGAACGTAGTGAAACAAGAAGGGGCGCCGTGAGAACTGGGGAGATACCATGGCCCCCGCCATGATAGCTCCCCCCCCCCCCTACACCCTGCGAAATGCTTAAGAAATCATGGGTTAAGAAAGTCATCGTCTCAGAACTTGAACTAAAACCCAACATTTCTATTACAATCTTAGGATTTACATTGAAACATTAAGAATAATCGATCCTCTGACCGAAAATTTAGGTTTTCTTAAGCATCGCCTAAGGTGTAGTCATCACCCCCCGCTTGGAAGCCCCCGACGTTGAGCCACGCCCAACCGCACCCGGGCGGGGAGCGGCCCTGCAAGGAGTGGCGAGGGGTCGATGTTGGCTGACGACGATGCTGGTTCACGGCTCCTCCTCCTCCTCCTCCTCCTCCTCCTCCTCCTCCTCCTCCTCCTCCGATGCTGGTTGACCGCGCGGCGAACTGCAGGAAAACACGAACAACGCTCTCCTGCACTTGGGCTGGCCACGAACCACCCCCACCTGCAACAACGAAACCTGCATCGCCGTTGCCAACATCGCCGTGACCGTGTCCACGGTGACTCGCCGCACGGTGTCGTCACCACACAGCTCGGGGCCCCTGGGACTTTCCTAGGCCTCCCAAGGCACCTGGGAACGACACCCGCGGAGACTCCAGGAGGCCCCCGGAGGGCCGGAGCGGACCTCGGCGATGCGCACAGGGTGGGGGGAAGGCGGGAAGGCTCCTTGGCAGCAGGGCTGGAGCTGAACAGTGTTTCTCGTTTTCGTGTTGCTTTCGTTGTCCTTCGTTATGTCTTCCTTCTGCCTTTCCTGCGAAACGAAAGCAGAACGAAACCGGTCCACGAAGTCGTCAAAACACCGATTAGCTCGAGCCCTACTTAGAAGAAGGCCGCTTCTTAGAAGACTCCCGCCCTACACCTACAGACAAGGCCCACGCCTTCTGAAAAGCAGGGGTGCTTCGAAGTCAAGGCCCGCGCCATCTGCAGACAAGGCCGGCGCCTTCTAACAGGGGTCCTTCTAAGCCCCCTTCTGCGCGCCGCCAAGTACAGTGGAGGCCAGTCCACAAGAAACCTTCCACAAGAAACCCAACCCTGAGACCCTAGGACGTCCGTTGACTGTTAGCGTGGGAACGTCACGCCTTCCATAGCAAAACCATCGCAGCCCAAGAAACCCAGGGCACCCTGGAGGCAAGCAAGGTGTTTCTTGGCATGGGCCTCCAGTGTACCCAGGTCCTTTGTAAGGGACCGGACTTCATACACCGACGTTTCCTACTGCCCCGCTCTGAAATTCGCACAAAAAAGTGGATCCTGGTGTATTCGGGATCCTGGTGTATAGATTTTCCGTTGCTTCCACGGGAAAACGGGGAAAATAGTATACACCACACCACTCCGGCGTCGTCCCCGACCCTCAAAAAAGCTCTGGGACTGAAAAACGGCCCGCCACTGGTAATGTACATGCTTCAGTTTCCGACTCTGGCGACACGAACAAAATCGTGACTGGAGCTCTTCTCGAGTCTGCGCCGTCCAGGGGCAGGTGCTGGGCCGCGCGGCCCACCGAAGACGGCTCGGGGTGACCAGCGGGTCCCTGCGGGAATGAAGGGACCCTGGGACACACAAATAAATACACACAAATAAAATGATTCCCCATATTTTCCCATATTTTCTGGGTTTCTGTCTTCCCCCCACTTCCCATATTTTCCCATATTTTCTGGGGAATCGCCGATTAATTGTGTCTGTGTGTTTCTTTCCCTCCTGAGGGAAGCCCAGGCCTCCGACGACTCGAGTGTTCCGCGTCGGAGCTCTTCACCCCTTCAACGGAGACATGTTGACAGTCCCGAGCGATTCCCTGACGGCCCCGGGGCCCAGGAACAACCCACGGAGGGCGAACGTGGCGAAGAACTGAAACTGTGATTCCCTCGAGTCACCAGACATGCGGGGAACTCAAGGGGCCAGCGACTTGAACAAATCAAGTCGCCGGCTGTCCAGGGAGCCGAACGGGTGCTGAACCACCCCATCATCGTCGTTACCGCCGGCCTACCAGTCAGACCCACAAACAACCATTAGCAGCAGCAGCACCACCACCATCGCCATCATAACAATCAACATCCACATCGACATCAACATACACATCACCCTCACCATCACCATCACGATCACCATCACCATCACCACCACCATCACCTCGCCACCACCACCATCACCATCATCATCATCATCATCATCATCATCATCATCATCGTCATCATCAGCATCATCAGCAGCATCAGCAGCAGCATTTTCTTCATCATCAGCAGCATCATCATCAGCATCATCATCAGCAGCATCAGCATCAGCATCAGCATCACCAGCATCATCATCAACATCAGCATCGTCATCCACGTCATCATCAGAATCATCACCATCACCATCACCAGCACCACCATCATCATCATCATCATCATCATCATCATCAGCATCATCATCATCATCAGCATCAGCATCAGCATCAGCATCATCATAATCAGTGCCATCATCATCATCATCAACATCAGCATCAGCAGCAGCATCATCATCAGCAGCACCAGCGTCATCATCGTGATCATCAGCTGCAGCAGCAGCAACATACGCATCATTACCATCGTCGTCATCATTCTCGTCTCCACGACCATCAAGCCACCACGACCACCATGGTCATTATCATCCACATCCTCCTTTTCCTCATCACCATTATCCAAGGTCATGGTGGACATAATCGTCGTAATCATAATCAGCAGCGTCATCGTCCTCGACATCGTCGTCAGCATCACCATCACCATGATTATCATCACCACCATCATCATCATCGTCATCATCGTCGTCATTACCATCATCATCGTCATCAACATAATCGACATCCTCACCATAATCATGATTACCATTATCATCCTAGTCATCCTCGTCATCCTCGTCATCGTTCTACTCATCGTGCTCCCCCTCCTCCTCCTCCTCATCACCATCATCCGAAGCATCATCCGCATAATCATCATCATCACCACCACCACCGTCAACATCATCAACATCATCAACATCATCAACATCATCATCCGCATTCTCGTCACCACTGTCATCATCATATTCATCAGCATCACCATCGACGTGTTTATCATGACCACCATGATCACCACCACCAGCATCATCATTATCATCATCATAATCGTCGTCATCATCATCAACATGTTCATCACAGCCACCACGAGCATCATCTCACCGAAATCAGAAGGATGCTCTTATCTCCTCCAGCCGATCCTCCTATCCGCCCCGTCCTCGCAATCCTCAGGACCCTCAGCCTCCTCGCCCTCCAGCGGGACGAACCCCCTGCCGCGCCCGCGTCGCATCTAGCAGCTGCCCCGTGTGCGCAGGGAGCTGCAGCCGCCGACATCGGCGGCAGCCTTGCAGACGAGGAAGTCGGCGCAGCGTGCATGAGTCCATGTCATGTCGCTCATCCTCCTCCTCTTCTTCCTCCTCCCTCCTCCTCCTCCATCCCTTGTCCTTATAAAAACCTCCTCGCTGTCGCAAACCCAAGCGTGTCCGTGGGGAGGGCCGTGCGCTTCACCTGAACCTTCCAGGCCATATACGATTCGAAAGCTTGAGATTTGCAGGCTTCACGGATGGAGGGCGGGCCGTTTTCTAAATGTAGCTCTCGCTAAAGCAGAGCACACATTCGTCTTAAAAGCTTGCAACCGCTTCACGATTGGAGGGCGGGTGGTCTTCAGAATGTGGCTCTCGCCTCAGCGCAGAACATCTTCGTCCCACAAGTTTGCAACAGCTTCAATGATTCGTATGGTCGAAGTCCCAGAAACAACGTTCTGGCACGATGCAGGGTTGTCAAGACACCACAGTGAAGTTAATTCGCGGCGTTGAAGTCCCAGGAATGGTGTTCTGGCAGGGTTCAGAATGGTCAGGACGCAAGAGCTGCGTTGATCCGCGGCGTTGAGGTCCCAGGAAGGGCGCTTTGGCACGATTGAGGATTCTCAAACTGTCGTCTTCCAATGGGCCGCTTCCCAAAATGCACATCAATTCTTGCATGAACCTATGAACCTATGAAGCACGGGGTGCACGTCAAGAGCACGTACAGTCCAGTCGTTGTGGGACCTCTGGGGAGCTTCTTTATGGCCTCTTGGAGATGTCTTGGGGGCTTCTTGGGGCCTCTTCTGCACTGGGCTTCTTCGGGGCATCTTGGGGCCTCTTGGGGGCGTCTTGGGCCGTCTTGGGGCGCTCTTGCCGCGTGTGGCCCATTCGGAGGCCGGTCTGGGGGCCTCTCGAGGCCGGTCCGGGGCCTCTCGCGGCCGTTATCGCCGCTGTGGAAAAGTGCTCAAATGCGAAAGGTGCGGTGTGGGCGCTGGTTGGCGTGACCTGCTCGGCTGCCGCGCGTGCGTGCCGCTCCGTCCTGCAATCCCCAGGGTTTCTGGGCGGCCTCATAGGGGGTTCTTGGGAGCCTCTTGAAAGCCTCGTGGGGGCTTCTTGGAGCGTCTTTGGGGCCGCTGTGGGGCCTCTTGGGGCTTCTTGTTGCTCCGGCTTGGGGTGCTCTTGCGCCGTCTGGCCCACTCGGAGGCCATCTTGGAGGCCTCGCACGGCCACGTTAGGGCTCTCTTGGAGTCCTCTTGGGCTCCTCCCTCCTCTTCCCTCCTCCTCCCTCCTCCTTCCTCCCCCTCCTTCCTCCTCCTCCTCCTCCTCCTCCTCCTCCTCCTCCTCCTCCTCCTCCTCCTCCTCCTCCTCCTCCTCCTCCTCCTCCTCCCTACTCCCCCTCCCCCTCCTCCTCCCCCTCCCCCTCCTCCTCCTCCTCCTCCCTCCCCCCTCCTCCCCTCCTCCCCTCCTACTCCAGCTCGTCCGGGTCCTCCTCCTGGCGCGGCCCCTGGGCGCGCCTGCAGCCCTCTGTGCGGCCGGCCTGGCGCGCGGGCGCGTGCACGGCGGGGAGGGCCGGGCATGCGGGGCCCAGGATGGGAGGGGGAGGAGGAGGAGGAGGAGGAGGAGGAGGAGGAGGAGGAGGAGGAGGAGGAGGAGGAGGAGGAAGAGGCGGAGGAGGAGGAGGAGGAGGAGGAGAAGGAGGAGGAGGAGGAGGGAGGAGGGAGGAGGGAGGAGGGAGGAGGGGCTGGGGGGGCCAGGAGGGGACCAGGAAGGCGCAGGGGTCCTGCGAGGTGGGCGGCGCGGGCTCGGGGGGGCCAGGTTGGCGGCGCGCAGAAGGGGGTAGGGGGAGGGGGGTGCTTCGAAGGAGCCTTCCCCCCTCTCCCTGCCCCCCTCTGCGCGTGGCCGAGGCGAGGTGGGCGGTGCGGGCTCGGGGCCCCGAAGCGGTGGAGGGGCGGGGGGGCAGTGCAGTAGGGGCTCGACCACAAGGCATCTTCCACAAGAAACCCAAGCCTGATACACCAGGGCGTCCATAATTACGTTTTTGTATGGAAACGCCACGCTTTCCATCGCAGAACCATCGAAACCCAAGAGATCCAGGGCACCCTGGAGGCAAACAGGGTGTTTCTTAGCGTGGGTCCTCACTGTAGCCGCTCGGGCACAGGACTGGCGACAGCCAGGTCGGTCTCGCGAGCAGTTCCTCGGGCAGGGTCTGCACGCACTGGCCTGGAGAGAGCGCCTGAGAGCAGAGGGGAAGCAGTGCGGAGGGGGTGCGTCGAGGAGGAGGGCGCGGGGGCGAGGAGAGAGAGGAGGAGGAGAAAGAGGAGGAGAACAAGCAGGTGAAGGATAAGGACGAGGACGAGGAGGAGGCGGAGTAGTAGTAGTAGTACGCAGCTGATGAGCAAAGAGAGTAATGTGCCTGTGCAAACTCACGCGCAGTGTAATTGGGAAGACACATGCACGCTACACGCGCCGCACTGCTCGCACACAGAAGGCAGGGCCGACCGAGGACCGACGAGGGGCCCGACCGAAAGGGACCGAAGAGGGGCGAACACGAGGGCCCGAGGGGCCGCGAGAGGGAGGGAGGCGAGAAAGCAGGCGGGCGAGGGCCACTACGCACACATCAAAATCGCACTATGCTACTGCCCGCTGTCCGTGGCCCCTCACACCACTACATCACCCCCCCGGTGCCGCGGCAGCACAGCCACGCTCGAAGGCGCAGCGCTGTGCGCGGCCACACGTCGTTGGCCAGGTCCTCGCACAGGACGAGCAGAACCACGCCTAGCGACCCGAGCGTGTCGAAAAGGTTTGCGCTCGCCGCTGGGAGTGGCTGTGGTCCATACCTGGCCTCACGCTTTGAGTACGTCGATCCACGCCGAGAGTTCTTCTTCCATGTACCCAGCAGGCGCCGAGCCAGAGGTGACAGTGGCGCCCAGCTGCTTGAACGCGTCCGCGAGCACATCCTCCTTGGTCTGGTCGGTGACTGCGAACACTATCTTGATCATGTCCGTCTGGTAGCAGTTCTCGAGGCGGCAGAGCTTCACGAAGTCTGGCGGGTCGCCCACCATGGCCGTCGACCACGCCTCGAGCGTCTGCCTGTTGGCGCGCCCCACCTCTTCCTCTGCCAAGCTCTCGACCATCGCGCAAAACACCGTCGCCGTGGGGGGGCCGAGTCCGCGTAGCTCTGCCAGTACTAGCGCGGCCTCCCCGTCCGACTTTTGCTCCGCGGGCTTGTCTCCCGCGTCCTTTGCCGCCGTGGCCTCGTCCTTGAGACGCTTGACCTTGTCCCTCAGTGTCTGCGCGTTGTCCGAGAACGTCTTGGCCTCCTCCTGCATGGCTTTGACAACCTTCGAGCTGCCCTCCAAGATCACCGTCTTCGTCATCATGCCCCACATCGTGCGGCTCCGCTGCGTGAGCTGGGTGACCTGCATGGCCAGCAGGAGGAGCAGCTCGCGCAACCCGTTGTCCTTGGTCAGCAGCTTCCTGTCCTTGTCGCCTCGGCGGCGACGACCCCCACGTCGGCCTGGCTTCGCCTTCGACGTCGCCCCCTCGCCCCCCGCAGCGCCTCTGGCGACTCCTGCTCCGTCCTCTGCTTTCTGCTTCTTGCGATCTTCGGGCTTGGACGGCTGCCCACCAGTCGCTGACGCCTGGGAGGAGGCCAACCGTCCTCCTCGCCACTGGCCTCGGGGCTTCTCCACCTCCATCAGCACGGGCAGCCTGGAGTCGCCGCAGGTCGTCACCAGCAATAATCAGCCCAGCCGCCGAGCGGTGCTCACATCCACGAGCCCTGGGTACACCAGCAGCCAGTGGGGCGATCTCACGGCCGCGAGGCACGCGCGGGGGAGCTCTGGGTGGTCGAGGCTCGACCACAGCAATCGGGTGCCCCACCTCCGTGGGCGGGATGTGCGAGCAGAGGTGGCTACGGAATGATGCGTACGACGTGCACTCCATGCTGCACACCATGCACTTGTAGTCGCTTATGTCCTTGAACGTGTACGGGTATGCCGTGTTGTTGCGTATACACCGCCCAGCGTGCCAAGCTCGTGCGAGGTGCCGTACTGCTTCCGTGCGATTCTGGTATATCGTGCCGCAGTTGATGCATGCGTTCGTCGGTGTGATGATGTGGAATATGCTTCTACCGCCGTGTCCCTCCCCTTGGCTTTGTGTGACGTGCGCAATTAGTGCTGCCCGTGTCCTGAACGTAGCCCCACATACTGTACCATCCCCCCTGACAATAGAACACGAGAACGACGACACCGAGTTTTCCCACGTTTCTTCTCCGTCAAGTTCCGCTGGCACAGAGTCCGCCAGCGAGTCAGGGGGCCTCCACACAGTCGCTGTGAAGGCCGTCCGCAAAGAGCGCGGATCAAAGGCCAAGAAGTAGCAGTTCACGTCCTTGTCCCAGAGCAGCTCCTCAATGTCGCCCCTCCAGGCCTGGGCAAAGTCCTCTGCCTCGGGGTGGCCCACGACCATCTTCATGTCGCTCTTGAATTGCTGCAGCCACGGGTGCGTCCCCGTATGGTCGTTCACTCCACCAGCTGGGTCGAGCGACGGGGGGCACGCGTACTCCGCCTCCAGCTCCCACTTCATCGCCCCGAAGAAGACCGACAGGAAGTGCTCGTGGTTCCCAGGGTTCCGTATCACACTCTGCCAAGCTTTCAGCCTCTGGACCGTCGCCTCGAGCGCGAAGGGCACCAGCTGCCAGTAGCGGTACACCTCCCGAGACGTGAGCGAACGAACTTGATCGTCGTGGAACGTAGCCGTACCACCCATCAGATAGCGCAATTTTTTCACCAACGATGAGCAAATAATACGGTGTTCGCTCTGGGTCCAGACCATCGACATGGTGCCCGATAAGCCTGCGCCGCTGACCAGGGAAATGAACATCAGCCTCTTCACACGACGCGGCGCCTTCGAGCTCCAGAATCCTTTTCACCATAAGCCACCCACGGTTGAGCGCCTGCAGGCGCGCCCGCAGCTCGCTCACGTTGCTCCCCACCGCGTTGAACCAGGCGCCCAGGTGCTTCAGCTCGTAGCCTGCCTGGCATCCCGACTGCCGTAGTCCCAATATCACTTGTCTAGTAAGCTGCCTCGACCTCAGTGCTGGCACCACGTCCTGCTTGCTCCGATTATGTGCATACTGCCGTGCTGCCAACGACTGATCCAGGTACATGTCATTCCGCTTAGACATCGCAACGATGTCCCCTGCGTTGACCATATCCTTCGGCACCAGCATCGTCTTAAAGATGTCGTCCATGAACGTGCCCATGCTGGCGTCCACCATGGGAAACTTGCTGAAGGTGATGGTCATGCTCTCAGCGCTCTGTCTTCTCTCAAAGGCCGCCCACGCATGGACAGCATGATGGTAGTTCTGCATGAAAATCTCTGGCTCCGACGTGTCGCCCATGAAGCCTCCGCTGCCACTGCGTACGGCACACCTCACGTCGGCCGCGTCGATGATCACGGTGAGGTTGCTCCTTCGGGTCCTCGTCACAGCTGCGGCGTAGCGGATGTCCTCTTCAGCCAGCTCCTCCTCCTCAGCCAACCTGTCGTGCACACACTGTTCCAGCTGGTGCTTCTGGCCACAAGCGAAGGCGTTGGTCGCATCGTAGCTCTTGTGCAGCATCGGTTGGCCACTATGCAATCCTTTCCACGCCGTGATCTTCGTCGTCATCATCAGCTGCTCCCTCCTCCTCCCACGGCAGGCGAAGGCCCACGGTGGGGGTCTGAACGGCCCCCCGCGGAGCAGCTGCCCCCTCGCATATGCTCTCCACCACGGGCACATAGCGTGTAGTAGCCTCCCCCCCGCAGGCCCAGCTTTCCCATTCTTCTTATCAGGCGCGAACCCGAACGAGAGGGACGCCTGCGTGGGCAACAGCTCGGTCCTCCTCACCTGCAGCGCCAGCCTGAAGAGGCGGTAGGATGCCTCCCCGTATTTTCCCAAATGCAGCAGCTGCCTCTTCGCATACGGGTCGGGGGTGGTGGCATCGTCGTTCCAAATAGCCTCAGGTCGCGCCCCCACCCCCATCGGTTTTTTCCAGTATTCACTCGGCGCGCTGACCCACGTCGGGTCGAGCAGTATCTTGAAAACCTCAGCTGGCGCCGACCAGGCCGGCGAGAATCGCCCCAGCCTCGATCGCCGAATCGCTCTTGCCGTCATCTTGAAATATTTTATTGTTTGCTTCCTGGTATGATCCGTCACCTCGAAATTGTCAGGGATGGCATACTCGTCGATGTCCTTCGGCTGCTTGTAGCGCTCCTCAGAGAGCTCAGCGTACCACGGCACCGACATCGCCTCCCCCGCCAGCCCCCCTCGCAGAGGAGGGAGCTCCAGGAACTGCACCCACTCGTTCGCCGACGGTGAGAAGCACGGGTTGGCACGGTAGTTGCGATTCTTGATGCCAATGCCCGTGCCCGCCAAGGCACGGGCCAGGCGGGGCACGGCCGCCATGTCACGGGTCTTCCACGCAGCCGCCAGGTCGTCCTCAGTGAGTCGTCGCCGTTCAGCCACAAACTTCCTCTTGTGGGACTTGAGCGCCTTCGTGTACGCCTTGATCGCCACGGTCTGCTTCGCCACGTCCGTCGTCATGGACACGTTTGCCGCAATCACCTCGGCCGATACTTCAGCCAGCAGGGCCCTGCGCGCCTTCAGCAACTTCCACTTTTCCGTCGTCATTTTCTCCAGCACCTCGTTCTTGACAGGGGCCAGGGAGAAGTGCTTCAGCGCCGTCGTCTTGATCATGTGCATGAGCAGCGCCGTGTGCCCCGTCGTCACCTCCCTACTCTCGAGCACCTCGAAGGCCGCGCGGTGGGACTCGAGCTCGTACTGCAACTCCTCCAGGAACGCTTCTCGCCCATCGCCAGTGAGCGTCGCCTGGCTGAGTTTGGCACGGTCCCACCTCTCGCGCAAGGGTGTGAGCACAATCGGCGGCACCATCTTCATCTTCATCACGACGGGGATGTGGTCCAGCACCGCTGGCATCGATCGGCCTTCCTGCGCCGACCTCTTCCAGGTCTTTGCCCAAGATACCAGCGGCACCGCGTCCCCAGGGATACACACATAGTCAATCTGGCTCTGGCCGTTGGAGCCCACGAAGGTGGGGCCACAATTGTAGAACGCGTTGATCGCCACCATCCCCACCGTGCTGAGCCAATCATGAACAGCAGCACCGCACGCATTCTCCTTCTCCGCGCCATAGTCCCCCACGAGGCCAGAGTCAGGCCTGGCAAGCAGCCCCGAGTTCAGGTCCATGCACACAACAGGCGTATACCGCTGGGGGATCTTCAAGAACTCCTGCTTCGCCCACTTCAGTAGCTGGTCGCACGTGTCCTTATAGACTCTGGGGCTGCCTGCCTTGCTCGGCTTGGGGGGGAAGTACAGCACCATCATCGCAATCATCACCTGGCCCGACTGTATGTATGCCAAGCCCCCACGGCCAAGCAGGCAAGCTGGCGGCGTGACGATGCGCCTGATGTCCTTCCTCGCGAACCACGTCTTGTTCAGCATGATGGCACAACCGCACGCCTTCGTGACCAGTCGGCTCCTGTGCCACCCGAACTGGATGGTGTGGTGGTATGTCGCCGTGGCCGCATGGTGGTGCTCCCCCTGCCACGCACGTACACTTGTCCCAGGCAATCCAATGATGCCCACGTTGCGCAGCACCGCTGAGACCTCGTCGAGGCGGTACCCCGTCACCAGCGAGTGGGGGTTCCAGGAGCCCAGGAAGCTCCAGCGCTCGGCGCCGACGACGCCGATCAGCGTGGCCAGGATCAGCTTCAGCATGGAGCCGCTGGGCACAGCGCCCCAGGCGCGCGCAGCGCGGCGCCTGAGCGGCAGCGTGCCGCCTGCCCCCGCTGGGGGCGGCACACAGGGTCAGCGCCTGCGGGCCACGGCTGCCCCCATCACGGCGGGGCGGTCCTCGGGAAGGCCGCCTCTGGCAAGGGGGGGTCTGGGCCGCGTCGGCGGCTGGAGGAGGAGGAGGAGGAGGAGGAGGCGGAGGAGGAGGAGGAGGAGGGGGGAAGGGAAGCAGGGCCGTTCGTCCCTTCTCCGCTCCCGGCCCCAGGAAGACCTCGAGCTTGCCTGCTCGTGCCATATGCACCCCATGCCATGCCGCAGCTGAGCTGTCAAGGGGTCAACCGACCATGCGGCAACAGTGCCGGGAATGGGAGATGGGGGTCGAGGTGACCTTGTTTTCAACGGGTCGGCGGAGCATCAAATCGTAGAGAGAGAGAGAGAGAGAGAGATCGACGGCAAGGCCCGCCGAGGTCTCAGAACACCGGTATCGGCGACGGAGGTCGCTGAAGTGAGAAAATGAGGCGATCGCCTGCAGGGGCCGCTCCCGGATCGCAACGGCCGACGACAGGGATCACCATGATTATAGAAGGCTTTTGTCGCGATGGGGCAGCCGGCAAGAACCTACGGGCTTGGCCTCTGTTGGTCTGTTGGACTGTTCAGCGTCGGGGAAGACGAGCTCAAACATGGCGGCTTGAAAGCCAAATAGCTCTAAGTCTCCTCTGTGGTGATGGTGATGACGATGACGCGATGAGGATATGGTTGTCATAGTCCTTGGATTCAGTAATCGACAGGTGCCAGTATACTAAATGTGTGCGATATGGCTAACAGAAGCACTGTGAAAGCTCAAACCTCACCCTCATTATCCTTCTCTTCCACCTCCACCTTCTCCTAAAAAATCTCCTCACCACCCACCTCCCCCTCGTGCCCTCTACTCCGCCTCCTCCAACTGCTCGTTCGCCTCATCATCATGTTCCTACCCTTCTCGTCCCCCTCCCGTCCGCTTTCTGCTTCCTCTGCAGTTCACTTCTCCCCCTGCCCGCCGCCCCGATGCCGCGCAGCAGCACGCAGGGGGGAGGGGCGGGAATCCTCGACGACTACCGAGAGCGCCATGCCCTGCACGAGGTCCAGGACAAATTCCCTTCGGGATTCCCCCCCGCGCTGCTCGTCTTCATCGCCCTCAGCTGCTGCTGCTGCTGCTGCTCCTGCTCCGTTTCTTCTTCCTGCGCGTCCTCTCCCACCCCCTCCCCTCTTCTCCCTGCGCGTCCTCCCCCTGCCGTGTTCCCTCGCCTCCTCCTCCTCCTCCTCCTGCGCATCCTCCCTCGTTCTTTTTCCTGCTCCGGCTCCTCCTGCTGCTACTCCTCCTCCTCCTGCCCATCCTTCTCCCTCCTCCTCCTCCTCCTCCTGCCCATCCTTCTCCCTCCTCCTCCTCCTCCACCGCAGCCCCATGTGATGACAGAATTCCGCCCCAGCGCACACTCGAATGCTTCGGTAAAATGGTGCGGTCGTCTCGCCGGAGACACGTTCACCGTCTAGGATCCCGAAGCTTGCAATGTGCAACAGTTACACGGATGGAGGGCGGATATTCTTCATGATGGAGCCCACGCGCCTCAGCGCCGCGCACATTCGTCTTGAAAGCTTGCGACAGCGTCATGGCGGGTCCTTTTCCAAATGAAGCCTTCGCCATAGCACCGCGCACAGCCGTCTGAAAGCATATTATCCCAGTGCGACCCTACCTAGGAGTTGGAGCCCCTAGGAAAGCAGCATTGGTAGTAACACTAAAGCTAAGCTAAAGCTAAGCTAAAGCTAAGCTAAAGCTAAGCTAAAGCTAAGCTAAAGCTAAGCTACAGCTAAGCTAAAGCTAAGCTAAAGCTAAGCTAAAGCTAAGCTGAAGCTAAGCTAAAGCTAAGCTAAAGCGAAGCTAAAGCTAAGCTAAAGCTAAGCTGAAGCTAAGCTAAAGCTAAGCGAAAGCTAAGCTGAAGCTAAGCTGATGCAAAGCTAAAGCTAAGCTAAAGCTAAGCTGAAGCTAAGTTGAAGCTAAGCTAAAGCTAAGCTAAAGCTAAGCTAAAGCTAAGCTAAAGCTAAACTAAAGCTAAGCTAAAGCTAAGCGAAAGCTAAGCTGAAGCTAAGCTGAAGCTAAGCTAAAGCTAAGCTAAAGCTAAGCTGAAGCTAAGTTGAAGCTAAGCTAAAGCTAAGCTAAAGCTAAGCTAAAGCTAAGCTAAAGCTAAGCTACATCTAAGCTACAGCTAAGCTAAAGCTAAGGTAAAGCTAAGCTAAAGCTAAGCTGAAGCTAAGCTAAAGCTAAGCTAAAGCTAAGCTAAAGCTAAGCTAAACCTAAGCTAAAGCTAAGCTACAGCTAAGCTAAAGCTAAGCTACAGCTAAGCTGAAGCTAAGATAACACTAAGCTGAAGCTCAGTTAAAGCTAAGCTAAAGCTAAGCTAAAGCTAAGCTAAAGCTAAGCTAAAGCTAAACTAAAGCTAAGCTAAAGCTAAGCTAACACTAAGCTAAAGTTAAGCTAACACTAAGCTGAAGCTAAGCTAAAGCTAAGCTAAAACTAAGCTAAAGCTAAGCTAAATCTAAGCTACAGCTAAGCACAAGGTAAGGTAAAGCTAAGCTAAAGCTAAGCTAAAGCTAAGCTAAAGCTAAAGCTAAAGCTAAGCTAAAGCTAAAGCTAAGGCTAAAGCTCCCAGGGGACTGGGGGAACCGCGGGGCGGGGACTGGGGGAACCGCCCGGGGCGGTTAGCATTGCCCGGCCCTTTAAGCAAAGAGAGTAAGAACCCTTCTAGGCAGAGCCTAGGTAGGGAACAACGTTTACAAGGATGGAGGGCGCGGCGGTGTCGACAGGGGGCTCTCGCCTCAGCGCCGCGCACATTCGTCCGAAAAGCTTGACACAGCTGCAAGGATTGAAGGGCGTTGGATTTCGAAATGTGGCTCTCGTTTGAGACTTCCTCAAGTGCAGCGCCCCGAAGCTTGAACATACGTAGCACCTGCACGAATGGAAGGCATTCCTTTTGAATATGCGTCTTTCGCTTCAGGATTCCTGACCATTGACGCACAGATGAATACCCTTGTGGAACAGCTACATGGATCGGGGAGCTTCTCTTCAGAACAGAGCTCTCGTCGCTGGAGCCCCTCTTCAAAACATGCCTCTGAGAGAAAGCCCTGGCCTCCGCGAAATCCGCTGCTTTTATCTATGCTCGGCTTCCCCTGGCGCCGACTTTTACTCGGGTGTGGCCACGACCGTGCAAGAATGCGGCGACGGGCACCGCGCAGCGAAGTCAACACCCGCGGGCACCGCAGCTGAGCAGCGTGCACCTAAGCGGACAAGCGCCTCTGCGCCCGAAATGGGCGAGATCGGCCGGATCGAGCGTCGATCGTCGACTCCCCGTTCTCACCGCTTCCTGCAAGCGGCATGGGCGTGGCCAAACGCGGCGGGCTTCGGGTAAGGCCGAAGCTGTCGCCCGCTGTCTCGAGGTCTCGCAGACACAGGGTGTCCCTGCACAGGCTCACTGCGCCAGACATCTGGGGAGTTGCTTCGAATTCGCTCTGGCGACCAGGGTCAGGGTGATGCCATCGCTGACTACCAACCAGACCACCTTAGCCTAATCCGAAGACTCGACCTTAGGGTTAGGGGGGGTACGGGTTCCACATGTGTTGTTTCAATGTTCCCCGACTCTCCCCCCCAACTAGGAATGAGGGGGCAAATTGAGGTCTTCGGGTTGGGCTGGGGTGGTTGTGGTTTGGTGGGTAGTGAATCGCGGGCGAGATGTGGCGCCGAACGTAGCATGTCAGATCAAGTCAAGTCATTCATCCCTCCCCCTCTTCCGCCTCCATCCCATTCCTCCTCCGCGTGAACCTCCATCCTCCTGCTTCGTCGTCTTCCGCTGGCCCCCTCCTCCTACTCCTCCTCACACTTCTCCGCCTAATCCTCCTCCTCCTCCTCCTCCTCCTCCTCCTCCTCCTTCTCCTCCTTTTCCTCCTCCTCTTCCTCCTCCGCCTCTTCCTCCTCCTCCTCCTCCTCCTCCTCCTCCTCATCCTCTTCCTCCTCTTCCTCCTCCGCCTCCTCCTCCTCCGCCTCCTCCGCCTCCTTCTCCTCCTCCTCCCCATCCCTCTCCTCGTCGTCCTCCTTCTCCAGCTCATCCTCCTCGTGATCATCATCATCATCACCATCACCATCACCATCACCATCACCATCATCATCATCATCATCATCATCATCATCATCATCATCAGCATCATCATCATCATCATCATCAGCATCATCATCATCAGCATCAGCATCAGCATCAGCATCAGCATCAGCATCATCAGCATCAGCATCAGCATCCGCATCAACATCATCATCAGCAGCGGCCCGCCTCACGTGCGCGCGCAGCGCGAGCACCTGCGCCTCGCCGTCCTCCTCCTGCGACGCATGGGGGGGGCGCGGACGCGCGCGGGGCGGGGCGGAGCGAGGCGGACTGGGACTCTGGTGGGCCACGCACACACACACAGCCTGGAGGGCGGCTGGTCCCTGAGAACGAGGCTAGAAAAGTCGAGCAGTCCACCCCCAGAATGACCACCCCGACACGCGGAGGGCGTTGCAGCGGACGCGCCCGGAGAAGGAGTCGAACAGGGCAGTGCTGTGCAGTAGACGCCCAGGGCCGTTTAGTCAACGCCAGTTGTCCAGTCTGGGCGGTTTTTCCTCCCTTTAGAGGTGGGAGGACAGACGCGGAACGCACAAATGCGCAAATTTACAGTCGGACTCGATTGCACAGGACACGAGAAGGACACAAGACCCTTCAGGAGGCCACATTGCCACAGGAATGCAGGAATCATGGGCCGCGAGACACAGGACACAAGGGTCCCCTTGACTTGGCAGGGTCGACCTACTAATCTGGGCCGACTGTACTGAGTAGCAGCTCCTTCCCCTACAGGCGAAATTTGATTGAAAAACCAAGAATACTCCAAAGAATGCCCCCTAATAGCAAAAACATGTTCAACAAATCGTCCCCCGACTATTCTTGGATTATTGTTTGATATTCCCCCTGTAGAGGGACAGGCCCGACTTAACCCTTGAGAGGTGGGAGGACAGGCGCGGATCGCACAAAAGCACACAGTTGCTGCGCAGCAGCCTCTTCCCCTCCGCACGGCGGAGAGAAGCGGCCCGCACTCGCACTCGATGGGAGACGGGGGAGAGCGCCTGGCCCCTGTGGACCGTCAGGAGGAGGAGTCGGTGCGGGGGGGGGGGGCAGCGCGACCCTTGCGAGGTCAGATGTGCGACACCACCGCGACGCCGGGGGCCTGGGGAGGATGACGCGAGGCAGATGACAAGTAGGAGGGAGGCACAGCGGGAGGACGGGGAGTAGGAGGAGCGGCAGCGGGAGGAAGAAGGGTGAGACATAAGTATTCCCAGGAATGCTCAACCAGCGTCCGCAGTTTCAAAAGCTCCAGGGCCTGCAGGCTTGTATTGAAGCAGGCGATCCGTCCACAAACAGCTCGGGGCGCACTTAAAGATTGTAAGATGTGTCAGCGAATGGCATCTCGTCAACATATTGTATAGCGTCGGCCTGCTGGAACCACGCGCGCGCTTCGCGGGCGCACGGGCTCCAGCACAATCCATGGCGGCGGGGGGCCTCTTGGGCCGTCTCGGGGCGCGGGGCGGTTCACCTCCGAAGGATTGCAAAACAAACCCAAGGATTGCAAAACAACCCAGGGTTTTTTTTGCAATCCTTCGCCCAAGGTTTTTTTTGCAATCCTAGGGTTTTTTTTGCAATCCAGGGTTTTTTTGCAATCCTTCGGGTTTTTTTGCAATCCTCCGGTTTTTTTGCAATCCTTCGGGGCGGTTCACCTCCCTCCTCCCTCCTCCGTCCTTGGGGACACCAAAAGGTACCGATGCCGCTACTCCCCGCACCTCTGCTGGGGGGGCGTTCTGACCAGGATTTCGAGGCGAATCCAGCGGTGGCGGCGACGGAGGCCCAGGAGGCCCAAAAGGGGGGAGAACGAGGAGAGGGTGGAGGTATGGGCATACCATTTCCTCCCTCCCCCGAGTCCTCCCTCTTCCCTCCTCTCGGGAGGGGAAAAGACACACAGACACAATGAATCGTCGATTTCCCAGAAAATATGGGAACATCTGGGACGTGGGGAGGAAGACAAAGACCCAGAAAGTACCGGAAAAGATGGGGAATATTGTGATTTGTGTATTCGTGTGTGTGTGTGTGTGTGTTTGTGTGTGTATTCATGTGTGTGTGTATTCATGTGTGTGTGTGTGTGTGTCCCAGAAGGCCCCTTCATCCTCCGCTCCCTCCCTCCTGTGGGCCCCCGGGCCGCCGACCCTCGGGCGGCGAGGGCTCGAGCCCTACCCCTGGGTCGGGCCTGTCCTCCTGCAGGGTTTTTTGGGGGGGGCGAAACCACAAAAATTCAAGGGACCCCAGGACACACAAATAAATACACACAAATAAAAAGATTCCCCATATTTTCCTATATTTTCTGGGTTTTTGTCTTCCCCACCATTTCCCATATTTTCCCATATTTTCTGGGAATCGCCGATTAATTGTGTATGTGTGTTTTTTCCCCTCCTGACTGTCCTCCTACAGGGTTTTTTTTGGGGGGCGAAACCACAAAAATAGTCAAACAATACCCCAAACATGCCCCCAGAGTACCCCAAGCATCGTCCCCCGGCCATGTCTGGACTCTTTTTGGGATGTCTCCCCTGTAGAGGGACGGGCCCGACTTCACCCTGCCACACCAACCATCGCCTCTCCTGAACCGATGACAGGCGGGGGTGGGGTTCGGATTTCGCCACGTGCTCAAAGACTCCGAACCCTGACCCTCGCCGCACGTTGAGCTGCGCGAGTCGTTGATCGGCGAGGGCAGGGCTCAGATTCCGCCGCCGGCTGGCCCGAGGCGAAGGCTGCGGGGGTTCCCCGTGGAGTGGGGTTCTGGGACTGGAGGCATTCCCCGAAGCCGGCGTTTCGTCTTGAATCGACGCAAGACCATGCAGAAAAACTGATTGGTTTTCATGCTCCTGGGTCCCCGGGGACCTTCGGGCAAGCAGTCGATGCGTGGCCGCGCAGCGAACTCGCTTAGCGAATCCCGTCTATAGCCGCGGCCTCTTCCTGCCCCGTTCTGGCAGAGGTGCCCTGCAAAAACCCCAGGAGCCCGACAACGGCGCAGAACCTCGGAGCACCTCCCCAATCATTGGGGGCATCTTGGATATCGTGCCGCCGCATCGCCGATACGTCGGCGACGCATGGCACATCGGCGACGCGGGCGATGCATCGGCGACGCCGGCAGAGAAACCGGATTCCACATCCAGCCGCTCCGCCGGTGCATCGGCGACGCGTCGCGCCCTTCCGACCCCATCCGCTCGGGTCTGGGAGGCCTAGAATCGGGGATGGACAGACCCCCCTTTAGCACAACGCGGTTTAGTGACAACGACCTGAGGCCCAAACCTGGCGGGCGCAAGCCTGGAAAATAACGGCCACGGCGCCATCTCGAGAACCGAAAACATCAATTCACGAATCGACGTGTCACTGTGGGGGGTTCTGTCCACCCCCGATGGAAGCACGGAGCCCCGCGCCGCCCGCCCTGCCCCCCCCCCCCGCTGCCCCCCGCCGCGGCCTCCGCGGCGCAGGCGGGCACCGGGCCCAGCGTCGGGCAAACGCGCTCCGCGGGGGCGTGGCGACCAGCAGCGCCTCGCACGGGCGGGGAGCGCGGCCGGGCGGGGCGGCGCGGAAGCCGGGCGAGCTCGGCCGCCGCAGGGCGGGCGAGCCCCGTGGCCCGCCCAGTTCCTCCAAGGGCTGGCAGCGCGGCGGGCTGGCGGCGTGCGGGAAGGGGGAGGGGCGGGCAGGTTTCTTGGGGAAGGGCTGCCGGCCCTCCATTCAGAGAGAAGGCCCGCGCCCTCTGAGCAGCAGGGGTGTTTTGAACATGCTTCCCCCCCCCCCCTTCCCCCGCCCCCGCCCGCGCGTGGCTGAGCGGGGGGGGCGGCGCAGGTGGGCGGACGGACTGGCACGCGGGCCATGATGCCTTGTCACAACAATGGCCGGCCGCTTTGTTCAGACGAACGGCCTGCGCAGGAGGGACACGAAGCGCTCACGAGATCGCAGCGGCGCGGCATGCCGCGGAGGCGAACGCAGCCTGGTTGACGGCGGATGACGAAAATCGGGGGGGAGGGGGAGAACTGTAGAACTGCACGAAAAAAAGGGAGGCGGCGTTGCCACGCACCCCTGGGGTCCGATGGTCCCAACCACACACGAATGCAATTCCAATTCGCAAACACGCGCCGCTTGCGCTTCACGATTGCTCATCATGTCACACAAAAAACACGCACCTACCTTGGCGCGCCGGGCCTACCAGACATTTTCGAGGTGGCGGGCGCAATTGCGCCGTCGAGTAAGGGAGCGGCCCTTGGCTGTGCAGCCCCATTACACCCGCGTGGGGCACCGCTCCCACGTGAGACAAACCCACCCCCACGCACGCCAGGGGGGGGGGACCCTGAGCGTGGGAAGGGCGGGCGTGGCAAAACGGGCCACGAAGTGCAAGAAAGAGCATCTCCCCGCCCGCCCGTTGCCAAAACATCGTGGCTGCCCACTGCGCGGCGGGGACTTGTGCATATCCACCGCCTGGGAACCGACGTCCTGGTGCCCCAGCGGGCGGCGGATATGGATATATTTCGGCCCCCGGGGGCCCGATCATGTCCATAACCGTTACAACCACCGCCTGCCGATGCTCCGAAAACTTACCTTCCAGGCGGTGGTCATGTATAAATTCCCGCGTCGGACCCACGAGACCCCAGGACAGGTACGGACGAGGTGACGATCGGGCTGCAACCCGCCCGTTCAACTGGGAAGGGGACCCCTCGGCACAGGCGCCAAGGGCGGGAGGAGCCGGGGGCGCACACGGCGGGCAGGCCCGAGCGTGTGCAGCCGCAGCCCCTTGGCCGCGGGGTTCTTCGACGACGACGACGACGACGACGACGACGACGACGACGACGACGGCGGCGGCGGCGGCGGCGGCGACGACGACGGCGGCGGCGGCCGCGGCGGCGGCGGCGGCGGCGGGGCGGCGGCGGCGGCCGCGGCGACGGCGACGGCATGCGGGTGAGCACACGGCCCCGTCGGAGCGGCCAGCCCACTCACGGGCTGCGCGACGCGGGCCGCGGCGAGTCCTCCCGCTTCTCCGGCCCGGCGTGGGCGGGCGGGAAATCAGGTTCTGCCGCGCGCGCCCGCTCGGCCAGCGCGGGCAGCCGGAGGCGCGCCTTGGGGGGGCGGGAGGGGCCCAGGCCCCCTCGCGTGGAGGTTTATCGCCACTTGTCCGCCTCCGACGGGTCCTTGCTGGGCGTCGGAAGACGTCTCGGGAGGAAACGCCGGTCCAGGGGAAGGGTTCGAGACCCCTATAGGGGTCGACGCTGCGAAAAAATCGCGGCGTCGAGGGTCTGGGGGGGGGGGGGTCCTGGGGGGGAGGGGGCGGGGGGGGTCCCCGCCCGCGGACCTGGCGGCGCGGCAAATCCCAGCCGTGGAAGCCGGCAGGCTCGGTGCCGCGCCCGCGCGGCCGCGGCGGCAGGATCGGGCCTCCCCCGCCGCGGCTCTCACAGGTCCTCTTGCGAGCCAGGGGCCAGCAGCAGAGGCGCCGCGACGAGCAGGAGAAGCACCAGGGGTTTCGCCGCCACGGCGGCCCCGCAGCCAAGGGGCACCCCGAGGGGCACAAGGTCAGCGTCGCGCCCCGCCGGCGGAGGAGCTGTGGTTGCTGCCCCCCCCTCTTGGGGCTCTCCGCTTCATGGCCGCCCCAAGGTTCCTGGACCCGGCAGAGGGCAGAAAATCCACCCCCATCATAAACCACCCCGACGCACGAAGCCGTTTACGAAACGCCCCCACGGAAGGAATCGAGCGGGGCAGGGCTCTCTAGTGAACGCCCGAGGCCGCTTCATTCGGCGTGGACAAACCTCCCTTTAGTAAACCTCCCCTTAGCGAAAACGGCCTGGGACCGAAACCGACGGACCTGGACCCGCAAAAATGACGCCCGCGACGCCCCCTCGGGGCGAAAACGGCCAGTTCGCTAATCGACGTGTCGGGGTAGGAGGTCTGTCCACCTCCGAAAGTAAACGACCGAGGCTGTTTAAGAAACGCCAGTTGTCCAGTCTGGGTGGCTTTTCCTCCCTTGACCTGGGGGGGGCAGAGGGTCTGCTCCGTCCGCGGCTCCAGCGGCTTGCCATCGCTCGGACGTCCACTCCCTGTGCAGTTTTCGGTTTCGTGCGTGTTTTTGTTCGCTCGATGATCCAGGATGCTCCTCCACGGCCCTCGCCGAGAAAAAATGCACACGTCCGAGCGATGCGTGTGTGCCGGAGGTTCCCGGACCCGGGGGGGGGGGGGGGCAGAGGGCAGACAAGCGCGCTCCACTACTCCCCGAGCACCTACTCCTCGCAAATGGCCTGCATCTGCCGCGGGGGCCTGCGGCCCCTTACACAGCGGATCCAGACATCTGCGAGCAGTGGACCGCGCCCGGCGATGGGGTCTCTGCTTAACAGGCGAAGAACGGTGTAAAATAAACTTTTTCGCCGTCGCGGACACCTGCCCCTGGGCGGCTGGAAAGTTAATACCCTTACGGTGCCACCGTAAGGGTATAAACTCTCCAGCCGCCCAGGGGCAGGTGTCCCCGACGGCGACAAAGTTTATTTTACACCGTTCTTCGCCCGCAAATCTGCTCCGTCCGCGGCGCCGGCGCGCGTGCCGGAGGCCGCCGCCACCAAGCGCTCGGCCCAGCGCCAGCTCTCCGCGGGCCCGCCCCCCGCCCACTGCCGCCTCCACGGGCGGACCCGGGCAGTCCCCCCGAGGCAGCGGCGCTGGACTGCGGCCAGCCCTGGAAAAGCACCTGCGAGGTGCCTGCGTGCGGCCCAGGAACCCAGGAAAGGCACTTGGGAGGTGCCTGCGGGCAGCCCAGGGAAGGCGCTCGGGAGGTGCCTGCGGGCGCCTGGGGAAGGCACTTGTGCATGCGTGGGCCCAAGGCGCTCCTGTGCCGCCTGCGGCGCGTTGGGCCCCACAGGCGGCGAGGCCAACGGCGGGGCGCGTCCGTGGCCGAAATGCGGCGAGAGCAAACGACGGGCAGGAGACGGCAAGGGGAAGCGGCCGCGGGACGTCACCGAGGCGCCCGCGACGGAGCGAGCAGCGCGGCGCAGCCGAGCGGGCGGTCCCCATGGGCGGCTGCGCTCGGAGGGAGGGGGCATCGTGCGCATTGGGACTGGGCGCCGACGGCGCGGGCTCGGCGAGCCGCGCGCATGAGCCGAGCTGGCGCTGGAGGAGGTGGGCGGGGGGAGGGCAAGAGGGGGGAGAGGGAGGGAGAAAGGGACGGAGGGAGGGAGGAGGA